TTCTAAATTTGAAACAATCGTCCAAAAGTTTGTCAATAAATTAGCGCTCGTCTTTTCTATTTCATTCATAATTTGTTGAATACAGTGGGATGCTCCATGAAAAATGGTTTTCAGAGTACAAGGCTCCTACATGGCAACAACTTTACAAAACAGCAAGCAGATCATGAGTGGCTTCCTGACTACGATTTCCCTTTGCTACAGCAAAGAATACTAGCACAAGAAAAATCATGCTACTATGAACAGACTCCAAGTATCTAACGCAGGCAAATTGTCTAATAGCAAGTGCACTATGTGGTGCCATAAAGGTCTAAGACTTGGATGAACCCACAATCATTGTTGTACAAACATAAAGCTATTCCAGCATCACAGTCACATGACAGTAATTTAAAGGCATGTGAGCCACAAAAGTCAAGACTTATAAGGGGAAAAAAGCATACCTCTCCATATCCTTGAATCCTCCTTGGTGGCATAGATGGTGGGAAACCAAAATATGGATGGGCATCCAAGGTTTTACATGTCCTACATACTCTCTCAATATTTAAAGACTTAACCTCGAGAGAGATAAACTCTAAATATGTTGTATCCTGTTCTTTTATAATGTGAGCTAGGAAAACGTATCCTTCAGCATGACGAGTAATAACAAATTTACTAGTACCATGGAGAGGCAGTGGGATGGTACTCTTAAGATGCCACTTATAGGACTTATCAGTGCCATTTTGCAACAAGGTGTAATATTCCAAAGACTTGCCTTCATCAAGTCGACTAAACATCCCAACCTTGCCTTCCCCTGATTCCACAATGACGATATTTTGCTTTTCATGATGAGGAGGGAGGTCATATGTGGATAACTCCATAGTGTTCATGTCAAGCTTGACCAACTTGTTGCTGCAGTTTACTTTCCCAATAGAAGCAACCATAGACGCAATGGCCTGAAATTAGCCTGTCAACTTCTCCATACAAGCCTAGATCAGCCCAACTGATAGATGTAGCAGCATCCCAATGACCAGAGCTTGTAGAGAAGATAAATACCGACAATCTTGTCTCGGATCTTATCTTGGAAATCATCCAGCAGATCACACTGGATGATGTTTCCTCCTCCATGCCTCTAGAAGGGATCAAGGAGACCCCGGAATAGAAGCAGGTATCGCTGGAACAGGGGGTCGCACACCGCGAGGCAGTCCCAGGAGAAGCGGCGCTTCATCCCCTTCTTGATCTTGACGCACACGTTCCTGAGTCCGACGAGAACACGCCCATCGCGGACATCAAACAGACACCAGCGGCACCATCTGGCGGGGCGAGGAAGGAAGTCGAGGGAGAAGTCGGCGGTCCGGGCGACAGCACGGGCGACAGCCGCAGAGGGATGGGTCGCCTCGACAGGGTGGAAGCCAGCTGTGTTGAGGAGGCCGAGAAGTGGCGGCGGGTGGACGGAGCGGTATCGGCGGAGGAAAGACGGGTTGCTGATGAGGCGGCGGAAGGAGACGCACGCGGCGGAGGCGCGGGCGAGATCCGCAGGGGACGCGACGCGGAGGATTTCGAGCGCATTTGGGTAGGGACAGCTTTGAGTGGCGACCAGCAGCGCGAGTCACGGAGAATGGATGGAATGGCTCGTGAAAGCATAATCATGGGCCGGGCCCATCTTATCGAGCCGAGTTCTGGGTTCGGACCAGCTTCAGTTATATTTTTTAAAGAAAAAAATATTTTACTTTCCTAAACTATCCTTAAAGTTTAGTTTTCCTCTCTGAACTCGAAAATCGGTTAAACCATCTCTCTCAACTTTTAAAATCATTCATTTTACCTCCCTGACCCTGTTATAGGTGGTTTTTAAAGACGGTTTTATTTTTTCTTTTTTTATTTATTTTGGTTGAATATTTAAAAAATCATAGTAAATCATAGAAAAATCATAAAATAGAAAATTCAGTTTTGTTGGACTCCACATGAGTAGATCTACACAGTAAATATGTAATATGGTATGCTTTAGTATAAATTTTTTGTTGTAGCTTTAGATCTATGCTTTTCTGTAATTAATTCATAGCTGCAGTTTCTATGGTCTAATTATGGTGACATTTTTATGGTGGTCTAATTATTGTATGCTTTCACTATAATAAAATTTTCATACTCGTTTTTATTTTTACACACTCTTAACTATTTTAAAACTATTTAACAAGCATAAAACTAAATAAATCTATAACTCAGTTATACATGATCCAATGTGTATACAATTTTTACTATAGTTTAATAATATAATAATTAGCCCACTATAAAAATTTCACTACAATTCTACTATAGAAACTTAAGCTTTGAATTAATTACAGAAAATCATAGATCTAAAGCTACAACAAAAACTTTATACTAAAGTATACCATCTTATATATTCAATGTGTAGGTCTACTCATGTGGAGTTTAGAAAAATTAGATTTTCCATTTTATGATTTTTCGTGATTTAATATGATTTTTCAAAAATTTAGCCAAAATAAATAAAAAAGAAAAAGACAAAACCGCTTTTGAAAACCACTTATAACCGGGTCAGGGAGGTAAAATGAACGGTTTTAAAAGTTGTGGGAGGTGGTTTACCCGGTTTTGAAGTTTAGGGAGGAAAACTAGACTTTGAGGATAGTTTAGGGAGGTAAAATGGACTTTTTTTTTCTTTTTTTTAAAGTTTTAGCTGCTTCTCTGGTAGAGCTAATTCTCTGATAAGTTAAAGTTGTTTTAAAAAACTTTTTGGTGAACAACTTCTCTGTCTTGTGGTTAAGAAAGAACAAATATCCAATATGCCTCTTACTATCTGAATTGTTATAACTATTGAATTGTATTGTATGTTTGCATATGCTTTTAAATTCACCAAAATCCATACCAAACAAGCATTCATACCAAAAAGATCTCTACAAGCAACACGGGATGTTCAACTCTATTCCCAAATACGGCGCAACATCATCACGTAAGTGCCATGGGTGATTACTAATTTTATTTACATCTAAAGCACTGTTCCAAAGTACTTCGTTTGAGGAAAACTACCGAGGGAGGAGCGGTTTTACATTTACTCTATCACAACAACAGGGATTTTTATCTATGTTTATATATCTAATATTAAATTAAATTGGCTAGTAAGAGGAAAACTCATTCCCTCAGTCTCATTAGGATTTCTGTGTGGAGCCAAAGTGGGCCTTCTGCTCTGGGTAATCGAGCTCAAATGGCCCTTTTAGTCTAGACCTGTTCTGATGCAGTTGCAGTTTCTTATTTATACCTAAAATAAAATAAAAAAGCTAGCTGACTGTTATGGACAGAAAACATTACACAGTTGCACACCCTTAAGAGCCAGAGATAGCTAGGATTCCGAGGGTGCAATCAAATGTAGGAACTCGAAAGAGTCTTCACAGTGGTACTATAGACAAGAAGATGATTCATTGCTCTGATGCTGCACGGTGCAAACACGATTCAGTGCTTAAAGTGATTATTTTGTTTGGACGCTGTAAAGCAACACTCTACCGCTTTGCTAATCTCTCAAGCCATCGTCAGTTGTCACAAAGACAATTATTGCATTCATGTTCCTAGGGGACTTGGAATCGCCAGTGCAAGAAAAGGGTGTACCTTGGTACGCTTTGTTTTGTCTTGATGCTGCTCTAGCTCTACGCTGTTTGGTTGGGGTTTCCTGGCCCGTTTTACCAGCTCACGACGCAATCTGACTGCGCTTCTTCCAGTTTGGTCTGCTCACGGTATACACGTCTATAGTGCTTCTATTCAACTATACAAATATACATTGTAGCAAAATTGGAGATTCAAACTTAATCTAGAAAAATTCATTTGAAAATGACAATTTTTGTCCTCTAGTGTATATGCATAAAAAATATTTTCATATTATTTTTTTTACAAAACAAGTTTGAATCTCAAATTTTACTACAATGTACATCTATATATGCACTATGGATGTGCATAGTTTAATCTGTTTTGGAAAACTCCTAAGGGTATGTTTGGAGCGTGGGAAAAATTCTCTGTTTCTGTGTTTTTGCAGTAAATCTGAATTGATTCCTATGAATTTTTTGTAGAATTCCTATGAAATTTTTGCGTTTCAAACTGGGCCTAAATATATTTTTCTAAAGAGTTTTCACGATTCCACCTATGACAGGATTTGTACTGAACAAGATGTCTTGCGTCATATGGTTTCGTTACCCTACATGAGTAGTACATGACACGCACTAGTCAGTGTACGATGTGCACCGATGACATAATCTAATGCTTGCTTGCAGGTTTCAAAGGCAGAAGCTGGAGTTGAGGGATTTGTTCTAAGCTGACACAACACTTCAATGAACTGTTATCAGCAAGATTTTAAGAAAGACATACCAGCCGCAACTGCAAGCAACTGTTTCCGATTCCATTACTCTCGCCGTGTTTAAGGGGGTAAAAAAACGGGACAAAACAACTGGAATTCAGATCGCTGCCAGTGAATCTGAAATCTGAATGTCTCGCAAAGCCTGAAGACTTCTTCTCTTGCTTTGGGCTGCAGGTAGTAAGATCCTGGAGAACATACGCTTGATCATTTATATGGCTTATAAGCCGTCCGATGCTGTTTCGTTGTGAGAGAAAAACACTATGTCATGACTGATAAGTATGGCTGATACGATCAAACGAATAGGGTGAGAGCACTCAGCACTGTTACATTGTAAAGCGTAGTATAATAATGATTCGTTAAATATACACTGCAGCTACATTCACCATTCACCAAGCTACAGTGTCTGATTCGGAATGGTAAGACGCAAAGTGCAACACAGAAGCCATGGGAGCATCTTTGGCTTGCAGTGGCGTGCATGTCGAAAGCTACGTCGATGGAGAAAGCAAGAGCAAGGAATCAGGAAAGCTGACACGCTCAAGCTAGGAATTGCACGCGTCAGCTATAAATCCGGCCAGCATCGTCTTGCTCTTGCTCCCAATTGCATTGCCTGCTGCTCCTATCACAGCCTCAAACCTCCTCCGGCCTCCAGCCTCGAGACAGAGACAGCCAATCAGCCATGGCGGAGCCCGGCAAAGAAACTGCTGCTACACCCCATCCACTGCCGCAAGAAACGGTTCCCCATGCGCCTGCCGCCATGGCGGAGCCCCGCTTGGAAGCTGACACGCAGATTTCAGCCTCACAAGACGCCGAAACCACCGGCGGTGGTGCTGCTACACTCGACTCTGCTCAGACTAAAGCAGAGCCGGCCCACCAGCCGCCTCCGCAGCAAGAGACCGTAGACATGGCTGCGGTTGGCGCGCCGGAGCAAACCACGACGGAGGCAGACGCTCAGCCACCTGTGGCAACCATGTCACAGAAAATTGCCGCATTGCCTCCGCCAGCTGAAACACCGGCGCAAGAGAGGGCGGCGGCCGCCGCACCTACGCCGCCGCAGAAGCAAGAAGGCGGCGACCCGAAACTAGCCTCCTCGGTCCACGAGGAGGACAAGGGCGCGTCAAAGGCAAGGGTGGAGGAAGGAGAAGAGAAGCCCGCGCGTCGTCGCTGGCGATGCCTCCGCGCCGCCGTGTGCTTGCTCTTCCTCCGCCCCAAAAGCGGAGAGACGAAGCCGGCGACACCACCGGGCGACAAGGAGGCGGTGTCAGGGCTGGAGGAGAAGAAGCCGATGCCAGGGGAGATGCCGCCGCCGCCCCAGAAGGACAGTGGCAGCACTGTCCGTGTTCCATCCAAGCCTGAAGCGGGGAAGGGCGAAGGCGAGACGAAGCCGGCGGCGCTGGACGGCAAGCGGCCGGAGCCAGGGCAGGAGCAAGTGGCCACATTGCCTCCGCCAGCTGAGACATCGTCACAGGAGACGACGGCGACGGCGGCTGAGGCTGAGGCTGAGAAGCAACTTGCTGCACCAGCGCCACAGCAGCCACCGCGGAAGCAAGAAGGCGGCGCTCCGGAACAAGCCCCCTCGGTCCAGGAGGAGATGGACGCCGCACCGGCAGCGGCAAGGCCGCAGGAGGGAGAAGAGAAGCCAGCGCGTCGCCGGTGGCGATGCCTCCAGGCTGCCGTGGGCTTGCTATTCCTCCGCCCCAAGGGCGAAGAGACGAAGCCGCCGACGCCGGGGGAGATGCCGCTCCCGGTGGACAGCGCTGTCAAGGCTGCAGTAGAGAAGGGCGAAGGCGAGATGAAGCCGTCGGCGCAGGATGGCAAGAAGCCGGTGTCAGGGCAGGAAGAAAAGAAGCCAGCGGCGAAGAAGAAGCCGAGCCGGAAGTACAGCCCTGGCGCTGCAAGGAAGGAGAAAGACCAAGGCGAAGAGAGCAAGGGCCGCCGTGATGAAACCCAAGCGGGGAAGACAACACCGCAGCTCGAAGGGGAGCACCCTTCGCTGAAGAAGTTTCGGAAGGCGGCCAGGCTGGTTCAGTTCCTCATGTCCTGGCTCAAGAAGGTGCGCTCCCAGAAGAAGCCAGTGGAAGTGCGCCTGGAGCACATCCTCGAGGAAGCCTTCACAAGGCTTCTCGCGACGGAGTACAAGGAGCTGAGCGGCGTGAGGCAGAAGTGCCTCCTCACCTTCTCCGTCTTCGAGCTCGACTCCGAGGTGAAGAAGCAGGCCATGATCTACTGGTGGGTGGCAGAGTTCAACCTGCGGCACCGGAGCGATCCACCAGCGAATGCAGCGCGGGCTCCTCCTGCTACTGCAGGTGGCGGCGGAAGAAGTGATAAGCCGGTGGCGGCGCCGCAGGGTAAAGGCGCGGACGCCGACAGAAGGAATGACGACGCCGAAGGCATCTTCTTCATGCTTTCTGATCATGGCTTCCTGGTGCCGATAAAGAACTGGTGCAGCAAGGTGATCCATGGCTGCCAGGTGAACCCCCTGGTGCACTGGATGCTGAAGCGGCAGGCGAGGGGTGATCGCTTCGCCGAGCTGGACGACAAGGGCAGCCCCGCGGACCGGCAACTCAACTCCAGCATCCTTTGCCTGACAGCAGGCAATCGTCCCGTGCTGCAGAGGATGCGCATGGAAGATGAGTCACAGCCACATCAGGCCAGGAAGAAAGACGAGTCACAGGCCGGGAGAAAAAGCAAGAAGGTAACAAAGGAGCCTTCCCTGCAGGGCAAGGGCAGCCGTGACCAGGACCAGGACCAGCAGCAACCGACGACGAAAGATGAGGCACAGGTCGGGAGCAAATCCATGGCAGCAGCAGATAAGGCACCTTCCCACAAGGACGAAGACTCGACCCAAGCTAAGGAGGACCAGCTAATCAAGGTACAATTCATCAACACTTTATTATCGAATCTATTAGTTTAGTCCATGACAACATTGCAATTGCACGTCCACATTTCTTAAGATAAGAAATATGGTTGCTCGTCTTGTATATTTTAAACTTCTATATTAATAATACATTACAAGGGTTGGATTCTATAGACACGGTTATATATCACTAGTCCAGTAACTCAAGCGTACAGCAATGAGAAACTCCAATCCGTTCCAAAATTAGAACTTTGTCAAATGCATATGATGTGGATTTTATAAGTGTATGATTTCTTATGTGCATATAGTGACTTCTGCAAAATTGTTTTTCTAGTTCTAACTAACATTCTTGATATTATTATGATATTTCTTCACAAAAAATCATTTTCTTTTTTTTTCTTGTCTGCTCATAAGACTCTGCCACATAGTAGTGATCAGAGAAAAATCAAATAATTTCTCTTACAATATATTGCCATTTCCTAAAGAATCAACATAATCTCATAGGCGCTTTGAACACAAATCTATTGATGCAAGTTTTATGTCCTATAAACTTGTATATAATTTGAAAAACTATTTTTCAAAATTTGCGAATTTTCACTTTTCCCGTGCAAATATGATTACCATTCTAGGATGGAGGGGTACTATTTAGGTGAAAAGCACAGAAACAGTCCAAGGGACAATGATACTTTTAGGTCAAGAGATGCGGATAACTTAGAAATAGGTGTAAGGGGTACCTTATATGATTTTTTTGGAGGGGGCACTTTGGTTTATATTTGGCAGAATAGCTATTTTGGTCCCTCAACTATTACTCGGGGCTCTGTTTCGTCCCTGAACTTTTAAAACGGCCGTTTTAGTCCTCAAACTCTACTTTTAGGCTCAACTTCATCTTAGAACTATGAAGATGATCATTTTAGTTCTCAAACTTTGCATTTTAGGCTCAATTTCATTTATAAACTATCAAAATGTATTTTGTTCTTTAAACTTTTATTTTCAACTCAAATTTATCTACGTTCTATGTGGAACGCTGCATTGTACCTGGTCAGCTCCAATACCATCGACGATTGGAGATAGAAACATAATATTCATCAAAAACTCTTTGATGGCCATTAATAATTTTAAGTTGTTATTTTTAGTGTTACCTTATAATGGTACCATTTATATATATACGACTAAATGATATTTGTGGGAGCAATTACAGTTGCATTGAACACTATTTATTCTTTAAGAATACATAGATATATTGAAACAATAGTAGATCTATAATTTTGATAATTTATGGATGAAATTGTGCCTAAAATATAAAGTTTTCTTTTTGAATAGACAAAATTGAGTTGAAAATAAAAGTTAAATGCACTTTGATAGTTTATGGATGAAATTGAGCCCAAAATGCAAAATTTGAGGACTGAAACAATCATCTTCATAGTTATAGGATGAAATTGATCTAAAACTAAAATTTGAGGACCTAAACGGCCATTTTAAAAGTTTAAGGATAAATTAAGCATCGAGTAATACTTGAGGGACCAAAATGGCTATTGTGCCTTTATATTTTATCGGAAGCAATATAATGAGAACCTAGCAACAAATAAAGAGTAAATTATGTTTGTCAAAAAAAGAGAGTAAATTATGCGTGTGTGGCTAAATTATTACTATATTGTTATTCAGGTCTGTGTATTATCGAACAGCATATTAAGATCTCTAATCTTATCTAAATGACTCGGTCACTTAGATAAGATTATATACCCTTATATGCAACTTGATAGCGCTGGGTTATGAAAATCTAGTAATAGTCCAGATATCATCCATATATCAACATATTAGTCCTTCTGATAATAAAATTGTATGGGTATGTATATTTTCCTTTCATTTGGTCCAGTTCATTTTCTCAATTTAAGGCAACCAGTGCCTGCAACGCACTATATTAGTAGATGCCTAATGTGTTATAGGCGAATGAACTTAATTCTAATTTTGTTGTGCAAGCTATGTACTACTGCATTGCAACGATATATATGTACTTACTAATGTGCACAAGTACACATAAATGATGTTCTTGACACATATACTTTGTTGTAGGGAGCACAAAACATCAAGCCCAGCTCTGAACTCGAACATGATGATGATATTCCACCATTATTTGAAGGGAAGCGAGTGATCCTCAATGTCAATGCACATGTGTACCCCATATCCAAGTTCGCATTCTTGAACCTTGCCGAATGCTTGGTTGTGCTGCAGCTTGGCCGGTGGAATAATCTTGACGACAAGACATACATGGAGGTGGATGGACTGGATTCACGGAATGCCATCGGCTCGCTCAAGAACCTCCGATACCTTGGTCTCCGTGGGCTATCACGGCTAACAAAGCTCCCAAAAGGGATCGAGAGCCTTAAGAAACTTGTAATCCTAGACATGCGAGGCTGCCAAAACCTAGTCAAAGTCACGGCAAGTGTCATCACACAATTGAAACAGCTTACCCATTTGGATCTCACTGAGTGCTACATGTTGGAGCACATTGATCGAGGAATCACATTCCTCACAGAGTTGCAGGTGTTCAAGGGCTTCGTGTTCGCAATTGGAACACAAGGGAAGAAGGCATGCCGAATACAAGACCTCAAAAAGTTGAAGAAGCTCCAAAAGCTCACTGTTAGCATCACCACTGATGCTAATGTAGGCAAAGGTGAGATGGCAGATCTTAAGTACCTCACCAGCCTTCGAAAACTCACAATTACGTGGAGTGAGATACCAAGCATATTGAAGGGTGACACGAAAAAGGTGAAAAAGCTGGAGGATCTTTTGGAGAGATGGACCAGCTTTCAGTTGCCAAAAGACCTCATGAAACTAGACATTCGGTGCTACCCCAAGGAAAAGCTAGAACTTGAATTGCATGAGAAGCTCGAGAAGCTATACTTGAGAGGTGGAGACATGGAAAGGTTTTCCACAAAGAAATCAACCTCCATCAAGACATTGCGTCTGAGGTATCTCCAGAATTTCAAAATGGGATGGGATGATATCCGTTTAGAATTGGAAAAAATTGAATATGTGGAAATTGTGGTTAATAAGGATGCAACACAAGAAAAGGATAAGGATGATGTTGTGAAGCATATAGATGAGGAAGTGGTCAAGAGTCTGATGAAGATACCAGATTTTACATTGGATAGGCATGGAGTATGGACGAAGGATGAGAAGGAAGAGCGTAACCAAAAGTTTCATGCAACTAACAAAGATGTTGCTGGGATGGATAAAGGTCAGGACGATGCCATTGGGAAGAACAAAGGTGCACTATCTAACTTTCATTCTTCACATTTGTATAACAATGTAATCATTATTACTAAACATATCATAACTAATTCTCAAGGGTTCCTAGTTCATTCTTTGATCATGTTTTTCTTTCAGCTGGACCATCAGAACCAACTAAAGATTCTAGTACTGAAACTGCTAGTGGCATCACAAATGTTAATAAGGACGGAGACAAAGCTACTACCAAAGAACAAGTAGGTCCTATCTTCTCCAAAGATATATAAACCTAGATTCAATTTTTAAACTGTCATTATACTTTAAATTGACAATAACATTCCTTATTCAATTTAACAGCAAAAGAAGAAAGAGTAGCAACCCAAGAGGGGTCGTAATAGTTGAAGATAGATCCAATCTCCATTAAGTAGAGAGTGTGGTTAAGCTGACATAGGTATAGCACAACAATGCTAGCTATGTCGTATCGAAGCATCAACAATGAATGTATTTGTACATTATTTTAGTGCAAGCTAATATATGTGGCCAAATAATGTAGACATTTATAACTATAATAGGGGTGGAGAGTTTGTCTCAAATGCAAGCATGCAGCACATATGAGATGTCCATACCCTTAGGGGCTTCAAGATGTAACATTCTATATATGACACAAAGAAGATTCTTGTGTTTGTAACCTTAAACAAGAGGCTCAAAAAGATGTCTTTACTTAACAAACATTTTACATGTGTTGACAAAGCTAGCGATAATAAACTCTAAAAAAACTAGTGTTGACAAAGCTACAATGAAGCCTCAAGAAAACTAGTGGTAGTAATTGATCAACTAATGTAGTGTACCTAATACATAATGAATATATAGGGGAACAAGTTATGTGTGGAGTGACTCCATCCTCGAGCATAGAAATTCTGGTTTTCATGAGTGAGAAACATGAATGTTTTACCAATAGTACTCTTGTAAGCATGAAACATAATAAGCACACTTTATATATATATATATATATATATATGGTGTAGCTGTATAAGTGTACCTTATGCTCATAATCGTAGAAAAACTGTTAAATAAATAATCTTATAAATTATGTTGTGTTATTTCCAGACACTACTAGAAATGTACTTTCAGAGACGGTCATTTTCTATTAAAAGAGGTGGCGTCCCGACCACCTTTGCGAATCATTTTTAGACAGGCAGGCAGGACATCTCTATGACTATTAACAGAGGCAACACACTTAGGTTCGCTGCCTCTATAAACCATTAACAGAGGCGCCCAACCTAAGATTGTTGTCTTTGTTAATAATTTTCAATTATTTAAAATTTCCTGCTCTTTTTGAGTTTATTTTCGTGTTTGTGTTTGTTTTCATATAAAAAATACATGTCTCGACAATTGAATACAATATTTGACCATCAATATATAGATCACATGTCTCGTTTGGCGTAGCATGAATATTACAAACTAAACTAGGTATATATAAGGTAAGTAAAGTCAATATTTCATGTGTGTGTACATTCATAACATTATTAAACGAATCTAGGTTTAGTTTCAAGCTCTTTGTAGTATCCTTAAGTGCTAGATTCTCCCACGCTCGAAGGTTGTGGTACTTGTGATTTGGCTAAGAGTCTATGAGATGAATGCTCGTAGAGCGAGCATCAACTCGAACTATTGATCACCTTCTACGAGATAACATTGAAGAAATGATATTTGTCTGATGACCACCTTCATGTACCATAGAAATGATAAATCTTTCATCTAGACTAGGCTATTGACGTTGGATGAGAAACTTGTTGACACTCCCCCCACACTGGTAGAGAACAGAGCTTTACTCCCGGTGGGGAACCCCCTCTAGTCCCGGTTCCCCACCCGGGAGCAAGCATCCGGGACTAAAGGGGGGTCCTTTAGTCCCAGGTCAGGAACCGGGACTAAAGAGGACCTTTAGTCCCGGTGGGTAACACCAACCGGGACTAAAGGTGTCTCCTGATATGCCACGATGGCCGGCACCTTTAGTCCCGGTTGGTAATACGAACCGGCACTAAAGTTTTTTTTTCTTTTTTCTTTTCTTTTCATTTTTTTGTTTTCTTTTCAAAATAGGTTTTCGTAGTTGTATTGTACGCTGCTAATTATACATTTATACGCGCGTATAGTATGTTTCGGTTCAAGCACAATGAACGTATTAAATCACATAATTCAAGCATAGAAATATATATATATATATGCATGCATGCATCATATATATATTTACATGCATGCATGCATATGTGTATTTTATATTATATTATTTCATGTGCATATATTACAAAAGATTGTATTACAGTTGTTGTGATATATAACAAGTTTCCTCTCATCCTCTAGCTTGGCTTCCATGGCAGTGTTGGGTCGAAGTAGAACTCGCCCTTGGAATCGATGACCTGCTCATTAAAAAATCCGGCTATAGACTCTTGAATTGCTTTGATTTGGTCTTGCCGTTATGACCTTTTCCTCCAACCATCGAGCCTACAGTTTGAATTAAAGGAAAATAAATTAATATATGTACATATATATATATATAAAGACATAGTAACACAATCAATAATAATAATTAAATAAATATATAGTATATTTTTAACGTACTTTTGAGTCTTTCATAGGAGTTCTTTGGGAGACCACCTTGATAAACTTGCAAACATAGTAACCACGATGAGTTGTTCCCTGTTCTGCCTCTCGCACACCACTTTACGAGAAAAAGATTTGTCATTCAATCTAGTGATCCGGTGAAAGCTATATGTTTAATTAATAAAGATGATGCGATTTAGGGGACTTACTTTCAAAGGGATTACATTCAGTGGCACTTTGCATTTTCCCATGTGTTGCTTCTCAATAAAGGTTTTCCAAACACTGTCCAATAAAAATTTTGCCACGTCATCAGATATAGTTAATCATCATGTTTGTGTGTATATATAGTTGCTAGAGATACCGAAATTACCTCTGGATAATATCTATCATATCTTGATAGTCTTGTTGTGGTTTTCTCATCGAGTCATAGATTATCAAGTGACTTTTCACCAGATCGATGTCCATCAATATCCAGTGATTGCTACATGTGTTTATAGGATATAACGATAACACTCATTAATTAACTAGAATCAACATATGAGCCATTAAGGATGATCGACATTATTAACACTCACTTAAAGTTGTAGGAAAGAGTATATCCTTCTTGTGGCGTTGGTTCACTAAGAAGTTCATGAGGTTACTCTCACTCGGACTTCCAATTAGTCTTTGGAGTAACTGGGTCTTTGAATACTATATGGGGATCAACAAAACCAATTTCATTGCACCCTACCCTTTACGAGCTCTCATCATTGTAAATCTGCATATATATAGTACTTATTAGGATAATTTATATGCATATACACACATATGATGAGTTTAATAATAGATCGAAAGAATTATTACTTACAGGCAATAGCGACTAATGATAACTTTGTCCGGAGAGGTCAAAAGTGCCATAGTTGATGAAATTATGCAAAGTCAACATACATAACATCATCGCCACTTTAACCAATGTTCGCCTCTAATTACGACACCAACACAAAGAAGTCTCCACCGTAGAGCGCCTTTGCATGTACCACTTGTTTAGCGGGTACATTTGCGTCCCCCAGATCGAGATAAGGCTTGAGGGTTGTATAGACTCGGCCTAGTACAAATTTTTCTTCCAAATATCAACCTTCGCCGCACTCTCAATGTTTCCATCACCAAACATCTGGTAAAGGTCAAGACCAGTCTCATTAATAAATTCACCAAGGTGATCCAAATCAACATCCGGAGGTATGTTTGCCTGATGCATTAATCCTAAATTCGAACCATATTCATTACCAACAACTAGCGGGGGACTAATTGGTGCGATTGTTGTCCGAGTTGGGCAACTCCTTTCCCTGCCCGCTTCTTTTTCTATGCCGCCTCAATTGACTTGGTGAGAGTGCGGTCATAGTCCGTTAACGTTGATTTGGACGGCTTACGAGATTCCCACTGTTGTTGCTGGTAAGAAGCCACCTTTTTTCTTAGAATATCTGGAGCTATGAAGAAGTACGGTTTCTCCGGGTTTCTCCTTGCTTCTTGATTCTTTTTAAGTTTGTCATAGAATCTGGACAAATCTTTTTTATATGCATCAGTTCCTTCTTTCTTCTCTTTAGATATTATTTTGGGAATAGCCCTTGGTTTCATGGTGGCTTTCTTTGCCGGCGGGGACTGGTTCTTTGTTTGCGGGGCTGGCCTCTTGCTAGCACTTGGCTTCTTGGTAGGCGGGGGCGGGGGAGGCGTTGGAGACCTCCTTGGAGGTGGTGGTAGCGGTGTTGGAGACCTCCTTGGAGGTGGCGTCTGCGGCGTTGGAGACCTCCTTGGAGATGGTGTGGATGCAGCCTTGCCTTCCAACACAATGTCATCGTACTGAGCACTATGATGATCTGGCGATTGAACAATTGGATTTAGGTTGGGGGAGGATCTCCTACAAAAAAAGGAATGACATATTATTATGAGCAGATTGTTAATTATTTAAGCCAATATAAATTAATGATGTAGTGTTTTCATCCGCACGTATGGTGAGGTAGTTCAGGAGGAGGTGGAGCCGACATCCCAGGAATGATGATGTAGCGCTTGCGCCATAGAATGAATGTCTTCTCTGCTTCTCCTAGAGTCTTCTCGCGATCACCTCCAGGAATGTCAAGAGGCAAATCACTAAAACCTTTTTCAGCTTTATCTACCGAGATGGTAGCATATCCTTCTTGGATTATATTCCTATGAATCCTTGGTGTCTTGGTTCGGTCGATAGGATTAACAAGACCAATAGCCACCTTGATTGTGGAATTCCCCTTCGGAATGTGTAGCTCACACTATGTACAAGGTTCAGTGACGTCATCCATAGGGAAGCGCAGTCCTATGTCCCCTTGATTTGGTATCTCCGTGGAAGCGCAGTTGCTTTTCAACTAAACAGATTGGCTAATGTTGATTCCTGGCTCTGATGCCTGCTTGCTTGCACTCACTGCTATTTGCACTTGCCTTCTGATTTCCTCCTGCATTCGCTTCAAGGTTTTTTTCCCGCTCCTGTGCTTCACGCACCGCTTCCTCCAACCTCTGGAGCCGCTGTGCCTCTTCTTCCTTCTTTCTCTGGCGGCTTCTATAGGAAGGTCTGTCCTGAGGGAATCCATGCTCCCACGAGACACTTCCTTTGCCTCTAGTTTGGCCACCATGTTCAATAGTCCCGATGGCGTATGTCAGCTCATCCTTCTCTCTGTTGGGCCTGAATGCACCACTAGCAGTAGCTCTCTGAGCATAAAACAATCTTTCTGCTGCTTCTTGCAGTCTTGCACCATAAACGCACTTCCCTGTCTCCTGGTCCAGTGTTCCCCCATGAGCA